TTCATCTCGAAGAGGATTGGGCGTGACGCTCCGTTGCAGCTGAGGCGAGCGGTGACTCGATAAGTACCGTGATGGTCGCCCAGGGCAAAAACAAATAATAACTTGGACAGGAGGAGCCCGTTGGTTAGCGGCTACGTCCGGCATCGAAGCAATCTCACCTTATTTTCAGGGCGACTATCGCAATTTTCAGAACGGTTGTCTCACGAGAAGCTTGGTCCTGTCTGGACCCGGTGAATTACAGGGCGCCCACTACCCCGTCGTATTACGGTGTTGGTTTTCGAGCCTTTTGCGTTAAAAAGACACGTGTAATCATGGTTTCTCTTCCTGTTGGTCTAGAATACCGAAACTGCCGTTTATCGGATCTGCTCTCATTTTGCCACCCGTTTCTTCCTTCTTCGACCGCCCCTTTTCTGACCTAACTCTTCAAGTCACACTATTTCCAAAAGTAACTTACTCCATCCACTTTTTCTTTACACAACTTCATGTGTTCTATTTCCGAATGAACATGAGTAAAAAAATATCTGGGGTTCTTGAAGAATTCTTGAGAGGCGGAACTTCACAATGAAGCCCGTAAATTAAAGCTGCAAACTTTTTTGCTACCTGAAGAGGTTCTACCTTGCATGAGAATAGAGCGTGCGTTCCGATAGCAGGTGTCAGGCTTGTTTGCAAGCGAGCTAAATTGCAGCTTGTTCCGTCTGGAGGATCGATCGCGTGACCGAATACTTACTCGATTACGCCTTGTTCATTTAGGGATCATGAACGTAAGCGAATTTGAATGTAACCTGTTACCTGCAATGAGTTTGTCTGGCTTATGGGAAAGCGGAGGTCCATTGAATGAAGGTAATGTAAGGTATTGATGCAAATGATGATTTCGCGTCATTAAATCTCGTTGATTAAATCTTGACGCTGATTGCTCCCGACGTATTGGTTTCTTAATTCAAACTCAAATAGTACCCAGGTACAATCCTGGGTATCATTAAATGATCTTGATAACTGTGGTTCGTGTTACCTGTTAGGTGAGATAAATGAAGGTTCACGTTGCTATGAGTTCATTATTCGGGGTTAAGAGGGAGTTTGGTAGCTCTTTTAGATGGTTAGGTTTATCACTTTGTTGGCTTACTATGTGTAATGTGGGACAATTTGGAGTTTAGGTTCTTTATGTGATCTGGAGTTGATCTAGGTTTAGATTTCATCTGGGTTCTAGATTCTGTTGTAATATTTTCCTAGGTTTTCCTCTCTAGATTCTAGGTTTCTAGTACCTATGTTCTAGGTCCTTAGGTTCTAAGTTCACTCTAGATTGTAAACTTCTCTTAAGTTGTAGATCATCTCCAATATTTCTGGGTCTAAGCTGTCCCTGGATCTTAGACTCTCCCTAACCTTTCTAAGCTATAACTAAGTTCTCTCGAAGTTCTACCTTTCTCTTCAACTGAAAGTAGACAATAAAAAAATCTCCCCTCTAATCTCACCCTTATTAAAGTCCCCCATCCAAGCGTATCAAATAATATATCAACAAAACACAGCAAAACTTGCACAAACATTTGTGAATAAACTCTGTACTTTTAATTTTACCTCACAAAGCAAGCGCAGCAAATTCCACTTTATCAACTAGAGCACACTCCTCCAATTTACCAGCCTCCCAAATGACAGCAAGCTAACAAGCTCATAAAATCGCGAAATTTCATACAAAAAGTTGTCTTTTTCCCTTGTTTCGACCCTCGTAGGATTTGCCTGATGATTTATAGGACTTGTCCGTCGACGACGAAGGGTGTCAAAGAAAGAGGGTGTTAAATGTCCCCAGAACTCACCTACGGTACGAACTGTAGCTCGTTCAGGATTGGTCACGCTTTTTTTCCTCTGTGGTCAAGTATGTTTTTGAAAGATGCGATTTGTTTTTGCCGGGCAAATTGCTTGTCCTCAGGAACGTCTTCCGCGAGTTGCTTCGCGTGCACGCTGTTTGATGCGCGCGTTTTGCAAAGAGAACTGTGGCTCGTCGAGTGGAATGAAAAAAAAAGGAGAGGACCAGTTCGAAATGGCAAAAAGACACAGGTCCGGGCCGCAAATTCGTTTCTGGACAAAGTGGCAGCTGGATCGCGCTGATCACAGGGCCGTATTAATGGGGACGGGGAGGAACGTGTCATTAGAGAGGGCACCGCCAACAAAAAGGTATTTGTTCATTAATTTTAATGAAATTATCGGAGTCACGAGAGACCGATGTGGCACGATAGACGTACCCGTAGACTTTGATAATTTAATTTTGTCCAACGAGGTTCCCTTATTTCACCGGTAAATTGTTATGCAAATCGAATCCGACGGGATGAGCGCGGCGGTGAATTTTAATATTAGCAAAATTAACTTTCGATAATAGAGGATTCCTAAATTAATGAAAGATTTTGCATTTTAACGCGGAGATTATTTAGAGTGGTATTAAATTGACGAAGCGATTTAATTAATTTAACGAGAGCCACTTTCGACATGCAATTAATCATTATGGAGTAAGTTACAGTAACCGGGGAAATTCAGGATTTTAATTCACGGTGTTGATTAAAATTCGATATTTACCCCGACGATACCGTCTATTATTCCAAATCCGTACCAGACACGGTATCTAGGCTAATTAAACATCTCGCACGATCGTTTAATTAATCAGAAATTGCCGCGGTTAATTACCATCAAAGGTTCGAAATCTGGTTAACGCAGGCACCGTTTCGCGTTGCTCAGTTACGTAGATAAATGAACCATTAGGATCCCGGCTTATAATTATAAAAATCGCGTAGGCGGTGCTTTGGCGCCGTGAGCCTTCATCAATCATCCATCAATCTACGAAACCCGCATTTCTTCTACATTATCTGATCCTCGAGCTAAGAACCGTGCACTGCAGTTACTAGGAAATGGGTCATCTTTCAACTAACAATTATCTCGTAACATCCGAACGTTCTATCATGGAACTGACACTGACGACTGCTATTTAAAAGTACCAATTATGCGAATTAATCACTTTTTTATTTTCTATTTTCTATATACATTTCATTATTAACCTTTCATGATTATTCAAGATGCAAGTGTTCAGGGAATTATTATGAAAGTAATGTTACGTAATAATGTTACTCAAATTTTTTATCACAATTTCATAATAATTTTTTGATAGAATTTTCATGATTTCTGAATGATGTTCTCGATGTTACAAAATGGCTGTTTGTTCTATTATGTATTAACAAATATGTCCAATTCGACTGTTTATTTCAGTCCTCTTTATACATTCAAGTCTAAAAATGATTGTAAGACATTTAAATGAAAATTAAGACAAATTCGATTCACATCCATAAAAATGTAACAATATAATATCAAACAGTTACTTATTTAATTAAACACAAACATTACAGAAAGAATAAGACATTACAGAAGGACTATTTATTTTAGTCCTCTTTATACATTTAAGTCTAAAAATGATTGTAAGACATTCACATGAAAATCAAGACAAATTCGATCCACATCCATAAAAATGTACCAATATAATATCAAACAGTTACTTATTTAATTAAACACAGACCTTACAGAAAGAATAAGGCATTACAGAAGGACTATTCATTTTAGTCCTCTTTATACATTTAAGTCTAAAAATGATTGTAAGACATTTCAATGAAATTCAAGAGAAATTCCATTCACATCCATAAAAATGTACCAATATATCAAACAGTTACTTATTTAATTAAACATAGAAACTACAGAGATTTGCTTATAAAGTTCAGTAGAAGTTCATAAATATGCCTGTCACGAGTACGAAACTTAGGAGCTCGTCTCGAACAAGGTTCATCCAGTTTGCGGCAAAACGTTATTTTTGGCCGGCGGTGATGCGCGAGAACGAATCGAGCAGAAGCGGTGCCAGTGTCCAGTCGATTAAAATCTTAGGACGCGTTGGTGCACGAAATCGTGGCAGTAAATCATGAAAAAGAGAAAATCGATCTTCACGCCCATTCTGGGCAGAGGAATCAGCGTACCGATCGCCGTGGCTAGCCTCACGGCCACGCTCACGGCCAAATTCGTCCGCGATCAAACAACGAGTGCCAGAGCTTAACAATTTTCGCCTGCCGACGCTCTCGTTCTTGCATCACGTTACAGTTTCGGCTATGCAACCTGTTCGAGGGAGAACAAAAAAGCGAAGTGCATGCAGAGCACCGCTGCAGGCCGATTCACCCACGTAGATATAGTTTCGAAACCGTGCCATATGTACTTGTGATGTAACTCCATCGACGGAGCGAAAGAATAGTCGGATGTTTCAATGGAAATTATATAAACATGTGCGAAACTCTTCGACAAGGATGCAAGGATGTAAAGTTAATATGTTGATAATATACCTGTATGGTTTGAAAATATTGCAATATGATAGAGCTGCAATATGTGTCAAATTTTATTATGAAAATATATCAAGCTGTGTCGAATTTTATTATGAAAATATACTTACAATTTATTATAAAAATATACCTGTTAGTAGTAAAGGATTAAACAAAAACATCTGTGAAAATCAACAAAATTTTAATTCTTTCTTACAGAGGTTCGCATAGTGACAATAGAGATTTTTATAAATAATAGAGTATAATAATCCGCAATAAAATACCTTAATAATAGTAACAATTTTTCTAAGGAATCGCTAACAGAAACTTTTAAATATACAATAAATAAATCGTCAGCTAAATCTTTCACGAACGAATAAAATATACAAATTTAAGATACTGAGATTCGTTCTACCGCCATTTTGGTAGAACTTAGGGTTCTTTCGTCGCAGTTTAAATTCCCAAATGTATGTCGTTCTTCTCCAAAAATATTTGATTGCATTAAGTAATAACTTCAATCTACATTACTATACATCTTTCATTAATTATAGATACATCGTAACGTTATTACAATTAATTCAAATACATTGCACACTGAAGTTATCGTTTAACAAAATAAAATATTTCCAAAAAAGAAAAATATAATTTTTACCCAACTTGTATTCCTGTAATCAGTTTTTTGTTCCCTAAGTAATTTTCTTCAAAAACAAATACAAATCTTGGCAGAAAATTACTCTCGCTTTCATTGAGGCTTTCGTTTGTTAGCCAAAGCTTTCGGTATCGTGCTCTGCACGTGAGCGTACTTTGGGTTTCTCATGGGTTTCATCGGTGACTTTTTATTGCCCGATGTTGATATTGTACGATTCGTGGGCGAGATCTTCGGCGTGGAAACGCTTTTACTTCTCGTGGCGTCCTCCTTGTTCACACTGAGCGTCGTGTTCAGCTTCGAAGACGTGGGCGTTCCAGGAAAACCTGACGAGGATCTTCGAAGTTTCGGCGGTAGATTTGGTCTCAGCGTCGAGGAACGGCCCAATCCCGGAAAATGGCCGATTGAGGAAAGACGTCGAATAGGTTTCGTCGTTTCGGGGAACATTTCCTGTGAAATTGTGGCAATTGAGAAGTTTCACGTCGTTGTACCCGGTTTATTTCAAATGTAATACTCTATCTAACTTTTTGCTGAGATTGGTAACCCAAAGAATGGTAGACTAACAAATCTCCTTGTATGACTTCAGATAGTTGCAGCAGAAAATTGCGGAGGTATTGAAGTTTCTTAATTTAAGAATTCTAATTCTGAATAAAATTGTGAGAGTTCATATCAAATGTGGACTGTAGTGAATCCACATTAAACATGGACTACAGTGAGTCCACATTAAACATGTACTACAGTGAGTCTACATCAAATGTGGGTTACAGTGAGTCCACATCAAATCTGTGTTACAATGAGGCCACATTAAACATACGGTACAGTGAGTCTCACATCAAATCTGAGTTACACTGAGGCTACATTAAACATAAGCTACAGTGAATCTACATCAAATGTAGGTTACAGTGAGTCCCACGTGAAATCTGGGTTACAGTGAGTCCACATCAAATCTGTGTTACAATGAGGCCACATTAAACATAAGCTATAGTGAGTCCACATCAAATGTGGGCTACAGTGAGTCGCACATCAAATCTGAGCTACAGTGAGTCCACATCGAATCTTGGTTACAATGAGTCCACACTAAACATGAGCTATAGTGAGTCCACATCGAATCTGGGTTACAATGAGTCCACACTAAACATGAGCTATAGTGAGTCCACATCAGATGTGGGCTACAGTGAATCCACACTAAATGTATGGTCATAACACTACTACTATATGGTCATAACAGGAGTTGTATCAACGTAGAAAAATTATAGAAAAAGACATTCAAATTTCTTAATAAAAAAATTAGCAAAATTCCTAACTTGAATAAGAACGACTTAAAATACATATATGTAAGTTAAACCTACCTTTTCCACTTGTTCGATTTCCGATATGACATTATAAGCAGATTCCCGAAGCGCATAAATTTTCTTCATGAACGAGTTGCTCTTCACTTTCTCCGTATTTAAAGCGGACGTTTTGATTTTTTCGCTAGCTTCGCTCTCGTTTTTATCCGCAACACCGTTCGACTCCTTTTTCTCCGATTCCTCGCGAACGAACGTGCCGGATCTGCTCACGGAGCTCACGTGAATGGCTGGACTTGACCGTGATATGAACTAAAAGAGAAAGTAAAAAGTAGAACCAATTTAATTGAAGAACTTGAAGTAGAGAATCGGTTGATTGCACAAATTATAACATTTTACTCTACGGTAATGATGGTACGTTGCAACTAAATGTAAAAATAGTTCAACTAAAATTTTTATTTTACAAGACAACCTTGTACATTAACTATATAGCAATGATTATAAGGTTTCTTCGATCGTTACCTTCTTCGTTTCAGGCGTGTTTTCCCCTTCATCCTTCACGATCTCCATTTTCTCCTGACTCTTCGATATTTCGTTGCCCGAAACATTTTCCGATGCAGAGAAAGAAGTTAACGTATCCAGTGATCTGAATCTGAAATGCAAGGATTAAAATAGAAATTCTGTAAAGGTCACTGGGTGTGTGATTAGTCGAAGTGTCAATAACCTTCCCAGAGAGGTATTGTTTGAGTCCAGATTAATTTTCGGTATGGTGGGAGCATTTGGAGTGCAAACAGCAATTCCTGTGGCTGGTGTTCTCACTGATGAATAATCGGGCACTTGTAATGTTACTCCCAGCATTATTTGAGCTACATCTCGGATAACGTTGATTGCTTGCTGATTGGTCAAAAGTGGACCTTCAACGTTTGTTCCCTGAACCAATATCAAAACGTTACTAATACACGCATTCTTGTAGAATTATATTAACTAAAATATTAGACTTTAGATATTTTATTTTAAATTTTTTGATGTGTTGCTTCCTGTTATAAATATGTGTTGAAATATATCAAAGTCGATATTTCTACATGTTCTACATATAAGTAGTTTAAGTTAAAATTATATATTTTTAAATATACATGTTTTTAAAATTGAAAGTGGATAGAAAAATGGAAGGCCATCTTGCCAAGAACCTTCTTCATATTATAAGAAGCTTAATTTATTATAAATGAAATATCTGTAATTTTGTGTAGTTTGAAAAATGTTAACCGTTAATAATTAGTCTAACCACTAATCACTAACTCACAAAGTTCCAAATTATTTTTATCAATTTAAATATTAGCACTCACAGTCTTGGTCCAACGAGAAATAACTTGCGTTAGTTCTTCTGCAAAATTAACCGCATTCATTTTGACCAAACCAACTGTTTAGGTTCAGATCCACGACTGAATTGCCTTCGAACACAATCATGACATCGAAAAGTCCTTACCGTACTTATATTTACGTTTACATCAGTGACGTGATCATGACTCTAGGCGCCCTCCGAAAGAATTCTCCTAAAATTTGCACAAATTTCACACAGAAAAATTTCCTGTATGTTCAACTGTATTTACACGAGCCTGGGTTAAGTTTATTCGCGCTGCTACCGTGTCTTCGCAATTGGCTTTTGTTCCGTCTAATTCTGGGTTATTTGACGAACGGATAGAGCTGCTCTAAGCTAACACAGCCTGTTATTTACGTTCCGAGCGTCTGTACAGCTTAAAGGCGGAAATGGTTAACATTTTATTCGCAAAGTCACACTCGCAATCTGTCACGTTTTCCGAAATAAATTACAAGTATAATTCTCATGGTAAAGCGAGCGTACATGTGACTTTATAATTGTAATTATTCGACACGTGAATTTATAATTGTAATTATTCCACGCTTGAATTTGAAATTGACATTACACGTGTGGCTTTAGAATTCTAATTATTCAAATTATAATGTGTCTACTTAAACTATAAAATCTATTTCGAAACGTAAAACTCAAAAATTTTTATTTCAAACAGCAGCGAACAAGTTGGTCAAAAACAGCGTCAGCCATTATTGCATCTTCAAAATTTAATAATAAAAATTGCATACAAAATTTCATTATTTAATTAAAAAATGCTGTACAACTAAATTTGCAAGTACAAGTTATTATTTTGAAATAGTTAGGTTAGGTTAGGTTAATTCGAACAACGATTCCTTAGTAGATGAAGGTAAATTGTATAACCATGTCTTAACCTCAAAAATTTTCAAGACAAAAGATGCATATTTTTAAAATCTTTAAGCTATCATATTTTATTTATTCATAATTGAATCTCTTTTCTTGATCTCCCTAAAATATCTTCCTAAAGAATTTTTCTAAAATATCTTCCTAAAGTATCTTCCTAAAGTATTTTTCTAAAGTATCTTCCGAAAGTACCTTCCTAAAATAAAGATGCTTTTGAATCCCTTAGAAATGATAAACTGTCCAAATAACATTTGTAAAGGAAAGTAATCTGTAAATTTTCGCTTTGCAAGGTAAAAACGTAGAACTAACGTTTGTTCGAAGCACGAAGCAGTGGCCGTTCACTTTAAAGTTGTGTCGCTAAGGAAATTGCAGAAATGCCACGGGAAATGGGTCGATTGTCTCGCATTCTGTGACGGTTGGTGTCAGAAACGAGACTCGCCACGACTCCGAGGGGTCCTGAGTGACTTAATTAACTGTACCGTTTCGCTCTAACAAGAGAAACGATTGCTCGTGCACGATTGAACGGTAGTATCGATTGCTCCTCTTGTCACGGTGCACGGGATACGAATGGAAATCACGTAGAAAGAGGAGACCAAGTAAAACCCAGTTCCAATGAACGATCGTTTGCAATGGTAATGAAGTATCGCGCGGAATAATGCATATTTTATGTACGCAATTATCGCGCTGGAAATTAATATTTCAATCGGGAACGATGTTCCGTGATACTGGCTTGATTGAAGTTTGTAATTTATTCGATTTCGTTTTGATCTTTTGCTCCGTCCATCAAATCGTTCGCTATTTAAAATCTGTATATTTTTTAATCTTCTGACGACCGAGTGTTTCATCAAACTCTTTCACTAAACCAAAAATGACCATTATAATTTTTAATGGCAATGAATATATAAGAAAATTCCTGTGTAAAAGGTCCTCTGTATTCCTACATCGATTTGAACGGCGTTTAAGGAACAATAAAGTCGAAGAAGCACATTCAACCATCCACTTTGCCGATTCGCGACGGCTTTACCGAACAATCTTACACGAGTATTCGTGAACTAAACACGACCACTCCTCGAGCCTGCCAATTATTTCCTGCCACACGTCGGCGTACTGATGGAGTAGTCCGCGAAAGAGGCGTAGGAACGTGATAAATCTCCCTTGGGGAAAAAACTAGCTGCCCAAAAATATATGCAAGCTGTAGATGGATGGGTGGAGTGCAAGGGCGGTGCCTGGTGCCGAACAGTCTCGTCTTAGTTTGTTTCTCCAGACTCCCTTTCCCCTTGGCCGGTCTCGCCACCATCGCCCTTCGCATCCTTTTTGGTGAATTTTTTGGCGATTGAACGATTAGGACGGGGCGGTGCTCGTCAGTCAAACTGTGAACCCGTTTCTGGCGTATGCAGATGAACGTGCGGTTTCATCGACGTTCGATTTTGTAGTGGGTGTCAAATTACGTTGTACAGTGTCAGCTAAGATGCGGGAGTATCAATTATGGGAGATTCATTATGAACTTCGAATTTATGGGTTCGACGATATATGCTGAGACTTATATGTGATCGACGTATCTGCTGATCAAACGCTTCGATACAATACGTCTTTGACACATAGGAACATATGTGACGACCTAACGATATTCAATATTTGAGAATAATATATTGATATGTAATACGTGGTGATTTAACGTATTGATATGTAACGCAATGGTATCCATTGCTGAGCAATCTAACTCATTAATATTCGTGTGGTAATTTAACACCGCGCTATCCAAAGCATAGCAATTCAGTGTAACAATATCCAACGCGTTGAACGAGTCGATATCCAACGCTCTGATATCCGAGCCACACTCAACGTCGAAACCTGATACATCGATATCCAATGCGCCGATACTCAACACACCGATATCCAACGTGGCGGTATTCAACGCGTCGATATCCAGCGCACTGATATTCAACGCGCCAATATCCAACGCACCGATATTTAATGCGTCGATATCTGATATGCCAATATGGAATGCGTCGAGACTCCACGCGTGTCTATTCAACGTGTCGATATCTAACGTACTGAGATTCCACGCGTGGTGATTCAACGTGTCAATTTCTAACGCGTGGAAATCTCTTGTGTGTCTATATCGAACGCGTTGATATTTAATGCGCCGATACTCAACGCGTCGATATCCAACGCGTCGATATCCAACGCGTCGATATCCAACGCGTCGA